TTTATTTCTTATTAAAAGACTTATGTTACAACTGTCTGAACAAGCTTTATTTTACTCTCTAATTTACAAGCGTCTCTACTAGTTTTATTTTATTTTACAATTTCCAACTGTCTTTACTAGATCTAGCTGTAATTTATTTTTTACTTTTTAATTGTCTCCATCAGCTGTATTTCTTTTTCTTTTTTCCAACCGTCTTCACTCACGGTATTTTTTGTATATCTTCCAACCGTCACCACTCCTTGTATTTTAATTTTTTACTTTCTAACCGTCTTCATGCTCGGTATTTAATTTTATATTTTTCCATCATCTTCATTAGCTGTATTTTATTTTTTATTTTCAACTGTCCCGAATGCCCTGTATGTTATTTTATAATTTAGCAACCATCTTCACGCGCTGTATTCTATTCTATATTTTCCAATCGTCTCCATAAGCTGTATTTTATTTTCTATATTACAATTGTCTCAACATGCTTTTTTTTACTTTCTATTTTACAACCGTCTCCACTAGTTTTATTTTATTTCATATTTTCCAAACGTCTTTACGCGTTGCATTTAAAAAAATATTTTCCAACTGCCTCCAATAGCTGTATTTATTTTATTTTTTTCCAACCGTCTTCACGAGCTGTATTTTATTTTATGTATTCCAACCATCTCCATTAGCTGTATTATATTTATTTTTTTTACGTCTCCACTAGTCGTATTTTATTTCATATTTTTCAACGGTCTTCACTACCTGTATTTTATTATATATTTTTCAACCATCTCCACTAGCTCTATCTTATTTTATATTTTACGACTGTCTTCACGCCTGAACTTTCTTTTCTTTCTTACAACCGTCATCACTAGTTTTATTTTATTTTATATTTTCCAATCGTCTTTACGCACTGCATTTTATTTTACATTTTCCAACCGTCTCCATTAGCTGTATTTTATTTTCTACTTTCCAACCGTCTTCACACTTATTGTCTTTTAAAATATTCTCCAACCGTCTCCACTAGCTGTATTTTATTTTCTCCTTCCAACCGTATTCACGCGCTGCGTTTTATTTTATATTTTCCAACCGTCACCACTAGCTGTATTTTATTTTATACTTTATAACCGTCTTTACTAGCTGTATTTTCTTTTCTTTTTTTCTACCGTAACCACTAGCTGTATTATATTTTTTATTTAACAACCGTCTTTAAACACTGTATTTTATTTTATATTTTTAAATCGTCTCCACTAGCTGTATTTTATTTTCTATGTTACGACCGTCTTAATTAGCTGTACTTTATTTTCTTTTTTACAATCGTCTCCACTAGCTTTATTTTTTCTTCAGCTTTCCAACCATCTTCACCCTCTGTGATATTTTTAATTTTCCAACCGTCTCCACTACCTGTATTTTATTTTCTATCTTCCAACTGTCTCCACTACCTGTATTTTATTTTCTCTCTTCCAACTGTCTCCACTACCTGTATTTTATTTTCTCTCTTCCAACCATCTCCACTACCTGTATTTTATTTTCTATCTTCCAACCGTCTCCACTAGCTGTATTTTACTTTTTATTTTACAACCGTCTTTATGTGCAGCATTTTATTTTAAATTTTCCAAAAGTCTTCACTTACTGTATTTTATTTTTTACTTTCAACCGTCTCCACTAGCTAGCTGTATTTCATTTTGTATTTTTCAACCGTATCCACTAGCTGTATTTTATTTTCTACTTTCCAGCCGTCCTCACACTCGGTGTTTCTTATTTTATTTTCCACCCGTCCCCCCGCGCTGTATTTTATTTTCTTCTTTCCAATCGTCTTCTCGTACACTGTTTTTAAAAATATTTTCCGTCTGCACTAATTGTAAAATATCTTCTGTTTTCTAACCGTCTTCACTACCTGTATTTTTTTTCTATTTTCCAACTGTCTCCACTAGCTGTTCTTTATTTTGTTTTCCGACCATCTTCACGCTCACTGTTTCTAGAGTATTTTCCAACCGTCTCTATTAGCCGGATTTTATTTTCTATGTTACAAAAGTCTCAACTGGCTTTA